TGGGGGAGAAGGGGGTGTGTGTGCTGGCAGCTGCTGGGGCTGGTCCCACTAACGCTGCATTTTTGGGGACACTATACTAATGTGAACGCTGGTATAGTGCTGATCTGAACAAATATATTGATCCGTTCAGACACTATACTAGCAATGGAGGTTTATTGTGTATGTGAGCGTGTTCCTGGCAATCAAAAGGTAAAAAATGTGATTACTGGTGTACTGATGGGCAATCTGGCGCTATCTGGGAGGGGCGCGAAAACCGCGGGAGCGCGAATCCCCTATATATATACATGTGATTTTGCACACCCATGCCGCCCTGTAGCAGTATTTCTACTATAGGGCGGCGCGGAAGCAGTTAAACATGTCCAGTGAAAAATTATTTAAAAAAATCAAACTTAGTCTTTGCTAAGAAAAAAATCCAAATACATATAAATGAATTGGTTTACATGAAAGTTCTAGTGTTTATAAATGGTGGTATAGATACTTAATTTTATTTCTTTTTTTTTCTAGTAATAATGGCGGCGATCAGCGCCTGATAGCGGGACTCCTGGGGAACGGACTTGGTGTCACTGACATCCCCAGTGACACCAATAGTGATCAGTGCTAACAAAAAAAAAAAAAAAAAAAAAAGCACGGACACACTACTAAGGGCACTGGGCAAGAAGGGGTTAAGAGGGGCGATCAAAGGGTTAACTGTGTGCTGGTAGTGTTTCACTACAGGGCGGGGGAAGGGTGTGCTTCACTGTAAGCACACTGCTCTGGATGGCTGTGCACCGGGCGCCGGCGGGTAATCACTGGACGGGACCTGGTGATTGACAGCCGTGGCCACATATGGCGGCACGCCCCCTACCCGGAAATGCAAAATCACGCATATATACACACGTGATTTTGCGCACCCGTGCCGCCCTGTAGCAGTATTTCTGCTATATATAAGTTGTGTAGCGAGCGCTTACTGTAATGAAAATTTGGTACAAGCCGCTAGAACACCAAAAAGGTAACCAACATAACCTTCCAAGACAATATATAGATAATAAAGGTGCAGCGCTATTAATAAAATAGTGAAATATCAACATACACTCAATTTTAAGAGTATAAAGATAAGGACATTAGATCATATTGTTCATCTTAAGATAAATTTGATGTTCAGTCTAATGTCCAAAAACATAAAAGGATGTGATGTGCAAATTCTGCTGGGTCTCCTTTGGAATAAGGAGAAGTGATCCAAAGGTGAACAGGAAATAAATTAAATGCGCACTCACCAGAAGTGCGTTTAAAATACGCATGAAAGAAGTTTCCCCTCTCATCGGGTACATCTAGGTCCTCCGCACTCAGGTCAAGCTGCGCTCCCTGGTCCTCACTAGTCATCCATCATGGCCAGGTTCCCTGGTTCCTCAGACACTCATACACCTCTGGGGTCCCTCCTTAAACTTGATATTAGAGGAGTACATCATCTTGGAATTAATATACCCATGATATGACATCAATATTATGGATGTCTGGTTCTGTGCAAACGCACTTCTCCTCTCAGTTCCTCTTTCACTGAGCAAGCTCTCGCTAAAAGCTGATTGGTTGCCAGGCACTGCTGCTCCAGATTCTGACTGTCCCAGTCTTAGCAGATTCTCCCCTCAGTCTTCACATAAGTAGATTCAATATTGTAAAGTGCTGTGCTGGCTTCCCTCCTCAGCTTTGCTGTCACATTATACACACTCCATGGCTAGGTTCCTTGGTGACCTCATCACCCGGCGCCTCCTCTATATCTATATATACACGTGATTTTGCGCACCCGTGCCGCCCTGTAGCAGTATTTCTGCTATAGGGCAGTCGGGAAGCGGTTAAATAGATATTGATATTCCCAGAGCGGGACCAGAATGTAAATAGAATGTAAGCTTGTTCAAGTAAAAATTATTTTACAGCCAAGGTAAAATTTGGCAAACATGTACACAGATTTATTAATGAATAAACCACATTAATTAATAGGTGGGAATAAACGAGTCAGAGATACCCTTATCCTTCAGGACCTGCGTTTTAAAAGCCATGCGGTAAAGCCAGCCACTTAGAAACAGGGTACAATAGGGGTACCAGTAAATCATGTTTGTTTGGAAGAGCCCAAGGTTCATCTGCCACAATTCTGAGTATGTCTGTGCACCACATCATTCTGGGCCAATCTGGTATGATGAGGATCACTAGAATGAACCCTTTCTACCTATCCTGCACAGAAGTAGAGAAAACAAACAATCTTTAAGAGACAGAAGGCATAGATCAGCCTGTGTGGAGACCAAGAAATCACCGGACATCTACTGTGAAGGCCATAGGATCCCTGATCCTGGCAAGGAATTTGTTAAGCTTATTGTTGAAACTGGAGGCCAGAATGTCTACATATGGGATCCCCCACCTTTGACAGATATTCTGAAAGATCTCAGGGTGCAGAGACTACTCCCTTGGGTCCAGGTGTTGATGGCTTACTAAGGCTGCCTGCTACTAGTGCACGCCAGGGATGTGGATTCTAGAGAGGGACGGATTGACAATTTCCCCCCAGGAGAGTATCAATTTGTTTTTATTAGGGAAGCTCACCTTCTTGTGCCCATTTGATCGCTCATGTAGGCCACTGCTGTCTTATTGTCTTAGTGCAGAAGGGGAGCTCCAGGGTAGTACAGTTAATTTGCAGGCTCTAAGTTCGAGAATGTTGATGGGGAGCCTCAACTCTGGGTCCCCTGGACTGTTAGGGAATTGTAAACTCCTCCCCAGCCTGCGAGACCAGGCTCTGTTGTCACCACCCTTCCACGACATGAGAAAATCTTTCCTAACTCTGGTCAGAGTTGGACATCCACCATGCCAAGGAGAGATTGGTCTGGCTGGATAGATATATATTACAATCCAGAGAAAGGATAGGTTTGTTCCATGATGTGAGGAGGTTTAATTGAAGTGACCTAAATGAAACTAGATAAAAGGGACTGCCTTGAAGGACGCAACCATTAGGCGTAGAAACCTCATGTAGAAGATCTTGACGATTCCATAAGAAATTTTTGTATCCAACAAAATCTGTTTATAGAGATTTTAAGTCCAATAAGTCCACTTGATTTTGGGGCTGGGAACAGGTTTAAAACTTCAGAACCTTTCCACTGAAGGAACCGGTGCAGGTGAAGTTGTCACTGGCAGACTGCAGGGCAGGAAGCAGAGAGCAGACAGAAGCAGAAAATTCTATTTTGTACCCCTTTAAAATGACATACTAAACCTCTAAGTCCAATCTGTCTCAAATCCAGACTGGTGCAAGCACCAATAGATATCCCCCCCACTCCAAGGTTTGGGGTGCCCCTTCATTGTGAGGAGGGCTTTTGAATAGGCTTTGTGGACTTAGGGATCCAAGGCTTGGGTCGAAAAGATGTATTTTGAGGTCAAAATCTGAATGAAGCAAAAATACCTCTTTTACTGAGCAGAGGTTGTAGAGGTAGTAGGTGATTTGGGCTTTTTCTTGTGGAGTAAAAGCACTTTGCCTCCAGTGATTTCCTTGATGATTTTATAAAGGGATTCCGCAAATAAGTATTCACCATCCAGACCAAAACACAATGCAAAAGGTTGAGGGCATCATGTGCAATTGTTCTAAGAACAGAGGTCATTGAAGGAGGGTCACATTCTCTATTTATTTGTTTTGTCCAGTTAGCTATAGTCTTGCAAATACACACAGCAGCAATTGGTGACATTTAAGAGGGCTTCAAAACATGTAAAACACAGAATTCTTAAAAGGAGGACACATCCTCAATAGGAACTGTGAGGCATACATTGAAGACAGAAATGGTGGGATTTACAATCTGAAAAGCCCATTTTCTTAAATTCCTTTCCATAAGATACAATTCAAAAAAAAAAAAAAAAAAAAAAAAAAAAAAAAAAAAAAAAAAAAAAGGGAGCTTAGGAGCTTTGATCCTTTCTGGATCAAGGATCAAATCAATCCTCCTGTAATGCACTTTTCAATTTCTGCATGGATTGAAAAAGTATTTTTTGATTCTGCTAGCGCCCTTAGTACCCATAGGTGTTTAATTTGGCTGTGATGAATCAGATGCTCCTAGGCAAAGACTAGTTTGCAACAGCATATACGTTAAGAGCAATTGGCAAGAAGCCAAAGCTTGAGGCTCATAAAATGCAGGCATTGCAAAATCCTCTGCAGCTTCAGCTGCAATATCTGGTCCTATTCACTTTCCTTCATTTCATTCTCAAAAAGGTTTGAAGGCTCCATCTCTGATTCATGAACAATTCATGAGTCGGGGGGGAGAGGGGAAGTGTAATGTTTTTGACCTCTGGTACTTTAAAATTCTAAAAGTGATGTTTTCATAAGAATTCAGACATAGTGGCAGAGAAATATACTTTTTCAAACTATTGTTGAGGGTCTAGGCTTTGCCCATCATGATGGGCATACCCCGAAGGGGTAATCATAGTCTTAGAATATGAAGGCGATTCATAAAAATCATCAATGGACAGGAGAACTTCATATTGCTTTCTAGAGAAGTTTCGCTGGCCAAAAACAACTTTGAAGCTTTTCAGCTGTAAGTACAGTATGTACTTTAACTGTATTTTATGAAAAAAATTATATAAAAAAAAACAAAACATAGTTTAGTAACGTCTTTGGTTAGATATAAAGATATAATCTTTCTGCTCTATAATTCAGCAATGCCAGTTGCTGATTTAGGTGTACATAAAAGCCATCCATTAACCTAAAAAACAATTACTTACAATGCTATGTTGTGTGGCATAAACTCTAGTAATTGCACGTATTCTGAAGTCAGCTAACCCTAAAATCTCAAGGACGAATGACAAAAAACTATACAAACTAATGCAAAAAGCAAAGCAAAATTCCATTGAGACTAATTAATAACAAAAGATTATACATAAACACACTGGACATTGGGTTTTTCCCGGCCAGGATATCATGGATATAAAAATGGATATCAGCAGAGGTCTACTGTGGATTGAATATTGTATTTTAGTGCAGAATATATAGAGATTGCATTAGATACCTTTGCTGCAGTGCACTCCTCCTGAAGGGCAAGCAATTTTTGTTGGTATGAGTTTGCCACACGTTGATGTTGTTCTGTCAACGCTCTGAGTTGCTCTTGTATTTTGTGTTTTTCAGATGTCAGCTCAGCAACCTGGATCTACAAAGCAAAGGTATAGCAATGGAGACATAACTTGATTGCAGTATGTTTTCATATATGTAAAATACTTTTCAAACAAGAAAAAAGAGCACACAAAAAACATTCCTGTCCTCACCATTTGTAATTTGTGCACCAATTTCTAATCAATTTTTTAGTAATACCACCACTCTACTTACAGTGCATACAGAGTGTGCATAAGTTTATTTCATTCATATTAGAAATATACAATTTTATCATAGTCTGTAAATATGCCCCCAATTACATCTGGTGTGGTCTGCCACTCTTTCTAAGCAATCCATAATACAGAAGGTGCTGAGCTTTGTAGTTCCCCCTCCTTATATAAATTTAGCACCATTGTAAGCGCTCCTATTAATTTGCCAAAGGAGTCGGCCCACCTCAAAACGCATAACCACAACCCTTACATCCCAACATAGGTGACGTCCTTTCCGGAGCCATGTGCAGTCTGCCCTATTGCAAATTTCCAGTTCTCCAGCGCTCTGCAAAGCTCCCCATGCCATACAGAGGACCTGAGCGGATTTTGATCCTGCATGAGGCATATAGACCAGCTCCACATGGACTCGGATGACATCTGCTTGTTCTATCTCAGGGAGTTGCTCATTTATATGTGTGCTTACTTTTATTATACTGCTACACTTCGTATAGTTCCCCCCGGTGGTTTCTTCCAGATACTACAGCTACAGGTGCTACCAAATCCACTGAAGGACTGCATTCTGCCCTATAGAAGAAGTACCCACACAGGCAGTTGTATTTACACACAAACTTTTATGTGTAATGTGTCTTTTCCAATAAATAGGTTTTAAACCACTACGCTCAGATGTACCCTCTGCTAGTCTTATCTTAAATAATTTGAAACACCACTAATGTCACCAATATCTACAGAGAAATAATTCCTTAAAGTAATCATGATTTGTATTTTACTCAGCATGCTGCTTACATACCTTATAAGCTTCCACATGCTGCTGACATGCCTCCAATTCCCCTTTTAGTGAGGCCTGGATAATTAACTGATCAGATTCCTATAATAAAAAATGAACGTTAAAAGGGGGTGAGATCAGAAAGCAGCTAAGTAAATGACAGGTTATACACATTAGCATGCAGTTCTCACCGTCTGCTTGGAATCAGCTAGTTCCTTTTTGGTTTTAACTAGCAGCTGCTTCATCTTAGTGCTGCACTCCTCATGCTGCTCTATTGTTGTTTGCAATGTTGCTAATCAGAGAAATAGAGATGAAATCGAATTAAATATCTCTTTATGCAATATGAAAAGAGCACTTTAAAAGATCTGCAAGCAGAATGTAAAATACTGTTCGAAAGCAGTATATTCAAATCTCGACAAGGTTCGCATATAGGTGTAATAAAGAAATCCATTACAAAACGTACATTGGTTTTTGTATCATCTTACATTCTCAGTCATGTATGGTAATAAAGAATTTACTAATATATATATATATATATATATATATATATATATATATATATATATATATATATATATATACACACATATACACACACACACACACACATATACACACACACACACATATATATATATATATATATATATATATATATATATACACACATATACATATACATATATAACACACACACACACACACATACATATATATACACACACACACACACACTTCATAAAGATCTCTTACATATTTCTTGTTGTAGAGTTTCCTGTTTCTGCTTTTGGATAGAGATCTCCTGCTTCAGGTCCTCCAACTGACTGCTCTTATGGGTGATTTTCTGGTTGAGCTCTTTCACCAAACGCTCATAATCGGCTATCTCCATATCCATCAATGTGCTCTTCTGAGCATCCTGCAGAAAAAAAGGACATGGAGACGTAAAGTACAAGCTATGAAGATAAAGATGCATTGGTAATGTGATACAATAACCACCGCCAGAATGGAAGGAAATATAAAATAGGAATTTTGGATTACGTGAAAATTCCATATCTTGAAGTACAGTGCAGGACACAAGCTGGATAGTCATATACCCTGGGTTTATAGGGTGCTACCTTCAGGTGATTGGACACTGACAAATACTTTCTTGGGCATACTCCTATAACCCCACACCATTCCATGAGTCCTCAGTTATTTAACATACAATGCAATGTAACAATGGACAGAGGCGAGGGTGTCCTGTACTGTACTCAAAGATATTGGATTCACAGGCAAGTCAAAGTTCCTATTATCTTACTTGTACAGTACAGGCTTGTATATACACAAGCTGGATATTCATAGACCCTGGGAACCCAATCACTGAAATGGAGGGGGTGGGCAACAACAAGGCAAACAGAACAGTGCCAAATGCCCCAACAAAACAATGCTCAGAGAGAGAACTGAGAGTGCAGCTGAAGAACCCTGCAACTGAAGGCTGCATCTGCAGAGACTTGGATATCCACCTGGCAAAACTTGAAGAACATATGAACCAAAAGACTGGGTGGCAGCCTTACAGATGTCTAATATCTGAAAGCCTAACAGGTCTGGTGGAGTGAGCATGTAAAACTGCTAGAGGCATCTCATGCTTGACAGCATAAGCCCTCGCAAGGAGTTGTCTTATCCACCTAGCAATAATGGACTTGGAAGCAGGGTGTCCTTTATGAGACCCTGTCGGCAATAGAAAGAGAAAGCCTGTTTTTAGGATAGAGGCCTTGGCTGTCAGACCCTGACAGCTTTGACCAAGTTCAGACAATGGAGAACAATGTCTTTGGGGTGAGCTTTGGAGTAGGGACAATGTCCTCATTAAGGTGGAAGGCTGTTACCACTTTAGGTAGAAAGGAGGGTCTTGGAAGCAAAACCACTATTACCTACAAGAGAGAGTTGCAAACTCCTCCTCCTTTCCACCCCTCTCTCTTTCTAAGCCCACACAATGTCACCACTTCCAAATCACTGGGGCATTTGCCCTCATATAAATCCCACTACAACTTCACCTTGGTAGCAAAGTTTTTCAGTCAATGTTAACACCTTTGTCACCTCTCAACTATTCAATCGCACCTCTTCTTAACTTAACACAATGGACACAGCCACCACACATTCCAATGGCAACACCCTTGACCTCTTATTCTCTTACCTCTGCAACCTCTCCAACTCCCCTTTTCTTCCCTCAGAGCACAACCTTACCAGCTTCACACTCTCCCTGTCTCCAACCTCCTAACAGGAACAGTTACCCATAGAAACCTTTTGAAAACTCCACCCTTCCCTTCTTCACTCTTCATGACAAAATCACACCGCTGTCCTGCCCAGACCTGGCCACTTCTGTCTACAACAACTTACTCTCATCCTCCCTGGACACACTTACTTCTTTCTCTAAACGCAGGGTCAGGTTTTGCCTGCTACAACCCTGGCAAACAGGGGACACTAGAAGTTTCAGGAGACACAGTCATGCTCTTCAGTGAGCATGGAATAAAAACAAAATCCCTGCAAGACTCCACTCTCTACAAATGTGCCCTTCTCAAATACAACTTCTGCCTCCACATTGCTAAACAGACCTACTAAACCACTCATCAAAACCTTCTCATCCAGTCCTCGTCAACTCTTTTCTACCCTTAATTCCCTACTCCACCCCCATTGCCTCCACCCACCAACTTACTTACAGCCCAAGAGATTGCCAATCATTTCAAAGACAAGATTGATACAATTCATGGTGAGATCTGCAGGTGTTCAACTTTTTCCTCCAACCAACATACCAGGTCCAATACCACATTCAACACTTTCCTCCTTTGACCCTTTTACCACTGAGGAAGTTGGCAAACTACTTTTTGAGGCTCACTGTCCCCTCAGAATTACCATAGCCCGCTCCTTGTTCTATCCTACACTCTCAAACCACATTTTCAATCTCTTCCTCTCCACTGGCACCTTTCTCTCCCCCCCATTCAAACATGCGCTGGTTACCCCCATACATATCCACTTCTTGACTGCATTATAGCTGACAGCTACAGCGCGGTCGTCCAGTTCTGGGAGGGCGTCATATGACATCCTCCCAGGGCACGCACCCGGCACTCTCTGTGATCCCTGTGTCCTTCAGACACAGCTGATCACATGACACAGTAAAGGGCCGATTACAGCAGCCTTTTTACCATGTGATCAGCTGTGTGCAATCACAGCTGATCACCATGTAAATACACTTGCAGGTTATTGGCAGTAATTTTCGCACACTGTCCGAGTGTGAGGAAAGTACTGCCCATAACCAGCAACTGTGAAAGGAGACAGCTACACTGATAACCAAGGCACGGATTATCAGTGCAGCCCCAAACGTGCCCAGCAGTGTCACCAGTCAGTGCCCTTCAGTGTTGCCTATAAGTGCCCATCATTGCCGCCTATCAGTGCAGCCTCATCAACGCACATCAGTAAAGGAGAAAAATTACCTTTGCTTGCAAAATTTTATAATAGAAACCAAGAAAAAAAACGTTTTTTTCTTTCAAAATTTTCGGTCTTTTTTAGTTTGTTTAGCAAAAAATAAAATTTCCCAGTGGTGATTAAATACCACCAAAAGAAAGCTCTATTTGTATAAAAAAAAAAAAAAAAAAACCAAGCTGATAAAATGTTCATATGGGTACGGAGTGCCATGACCACGCAATCATCAAAGTGCAACAGCACTGAAAGCTGAAAATTGGCCTGGGCAGGAAGGGGGCAAAAGTGTCCAGTAGACAAGTGGTTAAAAACATCCTTACTGGACCCCACCTGTTTAAACTACTTAAGACCCATCTCTCTGCTCCCCTTTGCCTCCAAGCTTCTTAAACACCTTGACTGCAACCATATGAGTTAATACCTCCCTGATTACATTCTCGACCCCCTACAGTCTGGTTTCCACCCACAACATTCCACTGAAACTGCCCTACTAAAAAACACTAGTGACCTACTAACTGCTAAAACCAAACGGCCATTACACCATACTTATACTCGTAACTTTTGCTTTTGACATAGTTGACCACCCACTCCTCATCAATAAACTTCACTTACCTTAATGTACAAAATACAAAAGGTTAAAAAAAAAACAAACAAACAAAAAAAAAACCTTTTGCCGTTAGGACCACTTAAGGCTAAGGTTTTAGTGAGGTCCAAATTGTAGGAAAACAAGAATGCAAGATACAGAGTAATTTGTGGGGCTGAAAAGTCTATGTTCATACGAGGTTAAAAAAAAAAAAAAAAAAAAAAAAAAAGGGATTTCCAGGTATGGTAGTATATTTGTACAAGTGACTTTTCTGTCTCTGAGAAAGTTGGGAATTACGTCTTTGAAGTGGAACTTCACTTTCTCAACCAACACTGACCATTTTTAATCCTATGGCTGCTAGCATTAGTAAATAGATCAGATAAGTAGATCATATTTACTTGTTTTAAGCTCTATGCACACTGGCTTAAAAAAACAAACAAAAACACTGCTCCTAGAGGAGTTTAGTGCTTTGCCTGTAGAAGCAACTAATATTATCCTATTTGTCCAAGCACATTAGGCGGTCTAGAAAAACATTTAAGCTCAGCAGGTTTGGCCTGTTTGCAAAAAGGCCATGGATGGTCTAAAAGTTTAAAGTATGTCTGTTCACCAGGTTCTTCAGGGCCAGTCTGGTTCAAAGAAAATCACCACTTTTTTATTGTCGTCCATTGTGCAGAGCAATCAAGGAAGAATCCTCTCTGTAGAGATTGCAGATATTAAATAGATGGAGCTCAGAGAGTTACCAGGGCATCCAGTGCCAGAACTAGAGGATCCATGGTCCTGACCACAAACACAAGTACATTTTTGTTGAACCTGGATGCCAGTATGTCGAAATCTGGAATTTCCCATCTCTGACATATATTGGGATGAAGGCACCATTCCCCGATCCAGGAAGTAATGGCTGAGGAAATCCACCTGCCAACTGTCCACTCCTGGAATGCCAACAGCAGAGATGGCTAGACAGTGGTTTTTTGTTCAGGACTGAATCAGACTTATTTATTTTAAGGCTGGCACCCCCCCCCCCCCCCTCCAATGACCAATGATTGATATAGGCTGCTTCAGCAACACTATCAGCACACTGACCAGGTGTCCATGAAGAAGGATAGTCCAGAGATGCAGAGCCAATTTTAATGCTCCGAGTTTCAGGATGTTTGCTTTCATTTGGGGTCCAGATTCCTTGAAGCATAAGAGATTGGAACACTCCTTTCCAACCTGTGAGACTGGAAACTATTACCACTTTCCATGAGTATGAAAAAAACGTTCCCATTTCCAAGGCTAGGTTGAAAATCCACCAAGCAAGGGAGTACCTTGCTTGACTGGAGAGAAGCACAGGAAGATTGAGAAAGATTGAGAGAAGGAGTGTGTTTGTTCCAGGGAAACAGTAATCATTAATGTTGCTTCAAAGAAGCCTAGAGTGGAATTGAGCAAAAAAAGCAGCCTTTACTAAGGCTAACATGAGAGCTAGGACTCTCATGGAGAAATACACGGAGAGGTGCCTTTTTGATCTTAAGGTTCAAGCATGGGAACTTGAGGAAAGGAAAATGATTACACGGGCCGTGTCTAGAAGTCTAGAATGCGCCCTACGTATTCTAGATAAAAAGGATGACTGGAGAGCAATCTGAATAGTGTTTTGGTTGTTTGAAGATAGTTTTGAATGAGATTAATCCTTTAAGCCAAGAACATCAAGGTACCCTGTGACCTGAATGCTTTGAGTTCCTAAGAGGGCGAATACAGGGTGCAAGCACCATTGTGAATGATCCATGAGCAGAACAGCAGTGGAGAAAATTGGAAGGGTTTGTCTTCTACTGCAAAATGAACAAAGGACTGATAACACGATTAAAAAGGGAATGTGTGGGTAGGGATCCTGAATGTCTATTAATGTCAGATATTCCCCTTGTCTCAGTCATGCAATTACGGACTTTACGGATTCCATGCAAAACTTTGGAACAAGAAGGTACTTGTTTAGAGATTTTAGGTCCAGAATAGGATAAATACCCTCAATGGGTTTTAACTCCATAAACAGGCTTTTAGCTATAAGAGTCTGCACTTATAGACAGAAATGAGAGCCCTTTTGGAAGTTTGTGTCTTTAATTATTTTCACTGCATATAGCTAGGCAACATAGCTAGGAGTGAAATATTTTTCAGGAGTACCTAATCATTATAAACTTATTACTTGTTCATGAATGGGGAATGCCTTTTTATAAACTGCTCAAAAAATGTAAGGAACATTTCGAAAACACATATCTCAATGGGGAAAAAAAAGATGGATATCTATACTGATATAGACTGTGTAATTTGTTAGGAATGTAAGGATGCCCCATCGTTTGATGGAAATGAAAATGATCAACCTACAGAGGACTGAATTCAAAGACACCCCAAAAATCAAAGTGAAAAAATTATTCAGCAGGCTAGTCCATTTTGCTGAAATTTCATTTCAGCAACTCAAAATGGTACTCTGTAGTTTGTATAGACCCCACGTGCTTGCCAACGTCAGGGCATGCTCTTTAATGAGATGACGGATGATGTCTTGGGGTATTTCCTCCAAGATCTGGACCAGGGCCTCACAGAGTTCCTGGACAGTCTGAGGTGCAACCTGGTGGCGTAGTATGGACCAAAACATGATGCCCCAGAGGTGTTCTATTGGATTTAGGTCAGGCGAGTATGGGGGCCATTCAATGGTATAAATTCCTTCTTCCTCCAGGAACTGCCTGCATACTCTCGCCACATGAGGTCAGGAGGAACCCAGGACTCATTGCACCAGTGAAGGGTCTGACAATGAGTCCAAGGACTTCATCCCGATACCTAATGGCAGTCAGGGTGCGATTGTCTAGCCTGAAGAGGTGTCATACACCGCCTGACGGTATCTCTAGCAATCCACAGGACAGAATTCCCCAGGGCGCGGGGTCTAAGTCCCAGTCTGCTTGTTCACCAGGGCCCCTGACGGTGAGGATGGACTTGGAGCAGACAGTGACCAGGTCATGGCCCCTGAGTGCACCAACCTGTGGTAGATGGAACCGCCAGAGGTATGTACTGGAAGAGAGCCTGATGTGAAGAGGAGGATATACCTAAGCAGTGACCGGATCCGTGCCGGATGGATGGCAGGGTAGTGTAGCGTAGTCAGACAGGCTGGGTCGGTAACAATGGAGACAGCACAGTACAGAGCAGCGGACAGAGAGTAGTCGGGTCACAAGCCAGGTTCAGCAACAGGAGGTCAGATAATCAGGGGTATGCAGGAGAGTAGTCAAATGAGCCAGGGGTCAGAGCAGGAGATGGTCAGCAAAGCTCAGGATCAAGCAGGGTCGGCAACAAGGTCAATCAGCAGGAACAACGAGCAGGAACAGGATAATAAAGACCATACGGCAACTTGAGTCTGTGCAGGGCTGGTTTAAATAGTGCGCCCTGCACTGTCATTGGTGCCAGGCACGCGTCCGCGATTGTGCATGAGCATATGTGTGGCCGCCGCCGCAGCTACCTAGGTCCTAGCGCCCGCCGGTTAGAGTGCATCGGCGTTTTGCGCATGCGCAGACCCGTGCGCTGCCATGATTGCTGACAAGAGGTTTGTGTGTCCCTCCATGGGTATGCCTCCCCAGACCATCAATGACCCACCACCAAAAGGGTCATGCTGAACGTGTTGCAGGCAGCATAATGTTCTCCATGGCTTCTCCAGATCCTTTCATGTCTGTCACATGTGCGCAGGGTGAACCTGCTCTCATCTGTGAAAAGCACAGGCACCAGTGGCGGACCTGCTGATTCTGGCCATTTAACACCAGAATCGGCAGAATGTCACTGTTCCGCAGTCCCGCTATATGTCGCTGATCGCTGCCATTATTAGTAAAGAAAAAAAAAAAAAAAAAGAAGCCCAGTATAAAAAAACAAACAAAAAACCGCACAGGCAATCAATTGGCCGTGCAATTGTCGGGTTAAAGAAACGCAGCGCCGTAAAGCAAAAAATGGCCTGGTCAGGAAGGCAGGTAAATCTTCTGGAGGGCAAGTGGTTAACTTAAAGCAATGATAGCTCTAAAGTAAATATTATGTTACCTTCCTAACAAGTTCAAGCTCTTGTGTAATTTTCTGTAACTTATTTCTCTCTTTCTGAAGTTGATGTTGAAGTTCTTCTATCTGCTTAAGAGCACTGTTGTGATCCTAAAAGAAAATAAACGATAGTTAGTATAGCATAATAATTTACATTTGTGTACTTTTAGTTGCTATTCTTGTTATTTGCTGTTGATTCACCTACTTTTAAATCATTCAAAAATATTGTACAGTGTAGCAGCATATCACATGCAAAATAACTGCATTCACTAACAGCTGCTTTCTTAATAAACAGATTTTCTACAGATGAGAGTTCAATAGCCACATTTAAATTTCTGCACTGAAGGCAGCAGGTAAAGGTGTCTACACACAGACAGACATTGTCTGTACAAGAGGCAAGGAGGTAAAGGAGGCTATACACATACAGATGAGGGTGCAAATAAACAATTACACCTTGGATATAGAAGGTGTAGCTTTACCATTTCTAGGTAGACACCAAACATCCATATTGTAAGAACCAAATAACTAGGCTGGTACAATATTTGCACAATTGTAACCTCCATCTTAGCAATTTAAAACTCACAAAATGGCCCACACAATCAAAAAGGCAAAAACAAACAGGATGCACGAATTGCAGTACATCTGAAGCAGTTTATAATCCCCTAAATATCTCCTGCTGTGTTTAAAAAACCTTTCAATCTAAAATATTATATATGGAAGCAAAAAACTGGAAAGGCTTGTATTCACACACATTCTTAATTAAATAAAAATTTTAAAATGATCAACGTTCATGAGAATATAAAACGTATGAATGTTTTATTATATTTCCTAAATATCAAAAAACACACATTACATATGCACATATGTAATTCATGTTTTTGATATTTAAGAAGTATAATAAAAATTCTATACACCATGTTCTCATCAACTTTGACAGGTCATGGCTAAAAATTAAGAGAACTGCTGTGTCTATATACAATAATTTACAGTTTTTGGTCCCATTTAAAAAAATGTAAGAAAATAAATGACGAGTTCATTCTTATTTTGTTGTATTCTATTCCCTGAAATTCTGAGTCCCTAATAAAGGTCTCCTCTCCAGCTGTACTACCTCAGAACCCCTTTAAATCGTCCCCCTAAAGGGACCACAACTCCGATAGTGGGTAAATAGAACTGCCATCCAGGACCAAAGTCTAGCATCCTGTACAGCATCCACAGACACACACAGTGCCTATGGCTCCTGCTGCTCTCAGAACCTCCTGTGAAGCTAGTAAGAGGGAGCAGTGATGCTGTTGGGATGGGGGCAAAACAAGTAGTTGGACATTTTTTACCTTGATGCAGTGGATGCATTAAAATTAAAAAAAAAAAAAAACGTTTTGACTTTAAATTCACATTAAATATATAAAAAGAAATATATGCAAAACTGTAAAAAATGCACTTAAAATAGTTTCCAGTTACGTGTTGTAATATTTACAGAAGATAGTTGCTGCCAGACTGCCAAAATGAATGTGAGTTCTATTTTATCATACTTGCCTTTATTTTTTGCTCTTTAATCAGTTTTTCAGCTTCCAAGTCTTTATCTATTGCAACTTTAGCTCTCTGCAGTTCAAGTATCTGAGCTTCCAGTAACCTGTTGTTGCACTGCAATGTTTCCATGCGGGTCACCAGGTCTTCATTAATAGAATTCATCTTCTCATGCTGAAATACAGTTGAATGACTTCAAAGGAGTTCTATGGTCACAGCATACACTTTCATTTTAAAACATCAGCAATGTGGCAATGCAAACAATTATTACCAATCCAATACAATCTTACTTGGAAAAAAAAAAAAATCTCCATTCATGTTATCAGTTCTGCCTATCTGATGGTCATCTCTTTACACAACTTTTTGGATTCAATGTATGCTTTGCAGCTTATCCTCTGCAGTTTACTTTCAACTTCTAATGACTACATATCCTAAAGGTACTTCACTGACCACAAACAGTGGTTTCTTGAACTGGCTCTGCCTCCGGAGACTTTCAGCCCCTCAAAGGGCAGGCTCTGTAAAATCTGTGAAACAGCAGTACCTACTCACAGGGCATTGTGAATACATTTCACAGAATTTAAGGAAGTAAATGTGTGGGGATCTTCACAAAGTAAGTTTACAAAGATCATTCAGATTTAATAAGAGTAGGCTAGAAAAAAAAATAAAATACAATATAGAAATATATAATTAAAAATTGTATCCATAGATACGAGTTAAGTTAAAGCAGAAAACAGTTAAAATGTTACTAAACCCCCAACAGTAAAATCAGTCTGCATATGCAATAAAGCATGCTTGTTATACTTACTGTGGAATCTAAGGGATTAATCCTCCACATTGTGTAAAAAGGCTGTTTGATTCTGTCTTCTCTGATCCTCCCCTTCTTCTATTGTCCCCAATCCATCTGTTGACAGTACAGAGCCCTAGGAGGCACTCTGCATATGCTCAATTTAGAAAATATAAATAAGTGAGCGCAATCCCAAAAGCGACCAATGCACTAAAAGGAACCACAAAACCTTTCTAATAATATCACGAAAGCAAAGAGTGCAGCGCTATATAAAATTAATTGCAGAAAATTAAAAATAAATATAAAATATAAAGATAAGTCCACTGTAATTTCGAAATACGAATTCCTCAGTCAACAGCGAACATTCTAGTGTTGTAGATGCAATCCGGTCTCCCGTTGTAGTAATATGAATAGATTGCCTACTCACCAGAAACCCAGTATAAAAAACGCATATCTGGATCACATGCATCCTAGGATCTCGGATAAAGACAGCCTGGAAACGGAATCCTCTGATGGTCCCTCATTAGTGTAAGGAAAGGATACCGATCTGGTCTCAAAGCGCTTACTCCTTCAGATCCGCAGCACATGGACATTACAAGGAGGCAGAAAAACACATTTCCATATCTGGCACTGAGCTTCCACACCTCAGCCCCAGTTTTTTAGGCAGTGCTGCGAATCTGAAGGAGTAAGCGCTTTGAGACCAGATCGGTATCCTTTCCTTACACTAATGAGGGACCATCAGAGGATTCCGTTTCCAGGCTGTCTTTATCCGAGATCCTAGGATGCATGTGATCCAGATATGCGTTTTTATACTGGGCTTCTGGTGAGTAGGCAATCTATTCATATTACTGCAACGGGAGACCGGATTGCATCTACAACACTAGAATTTTCGCTGTTGACTGAGGAATTTGTATTTCGAAATTACAGTGGACTTATCTTTATATTTATTTTTATTTTTAATTTTCTGCAATTAATTTTATATAGCGCTGCACTCTTTGCTTTCGTGATATGCTCAATTTAGTGTGTATTGCTAGAGTTTTTTTGTTTTTAGTTTGTTTTGGGAGGGTGCATGTGATTGGCACCTGGCTAATCAGCACTGTCCAGACAGAGGGTCGGGAGTCATGCACCCTCAAGGGACAATCAGAGCAAAATGAAAACTCCCCCTACAAGCCCACCAGTGATCGGCCGGACACTGATAGAAGTCACAAGACTGCTCTAACTGCTGATGAGAAAAGGTATTTAGCAGTTTATATATACTACAATATTCACATTTACCATGTTCTGTGTACTATGGGAGACCAGATATAGTAAATGCAGGGTCCTGGGTTTAGTAACACTTTAAATTTTATTCCGAACAGCTAATCTTTTCTCCTTGTTATATCAACATGTGTTTTCTCATTTACTAAGGGAGCTCAGCTTCATCTTTTTCAATGCCAGACAGAGCTGTGAAACATGACACAGCACTTGTATTCATAAACCATAGGATGTCACAAAACAAAAAAACCAAAAAAAAAAAAAATGAAGGCTGGGTAACAACATGGCAAACAGAACAGCCAACAGGCCCTCAAAAAAAACAAAAAACAAATAAGGGTAAGAACCCAATAACACACTCAGATAACAGGTTGAAGCACCTTGCAGTTGAAGCTTGTCTCAAGTCGATGCATGAGCATCCACCTGGTAAAACCAGGAGTACATGTGCACAGAGGACCAAGTAAGAGCCTTGAAAATCTCTGGGTACAGATACTTGATGTTGGAAAGTCCAAGAGATACCAACAGACCTGATGGAATGATATCTGATAGGAAAAAGATAAACCCTTTTCTTAAAAGGGTAAAGGCCCTAGATATAGGTTGTTTGATCCACCTGGCAATGGTAGAGCGAGAGGCAGGATATCCCATTTGAGAGCCTGAAGGGAGAACATTCAAAAGACTCAGTTTAGCAAATAGAAGCCTTGGCTGCCAAGTAGACCCTGAAAACTAGGAAAGGAAGTATGGAAAAATTCCTTGGCGTGCTTAGGAGCACAGAAGAAATAAAATATCCTCACTGGTTATTTACCATCTCCTACCTGATTTCTAATATGCACTCCCCTACCATTCGTCATATGTTGCACCTTTTCAGGAGTGAGAACTTTGCTGCCTTTCTCCTCATTATCCTCTCCCCTGCCCTGGATCCCCAACACTTCTGTTTACTTTGCATATATTTCTTATTGTCAAGTTAATTAACCACTTGCCCTCCAGAGGATTTACCCCCCTTCCTGACCAGGCCATTTACTGCGCTGCATTACTTTAACTGACAATTGCTCGGTCATGCAACAATGTACATAAATTAAATTTATGTCCTTTTTTTTCCCCCACAAGTAGAGCTTTCTTTTGGTGGTATTTGATCACCTCTGTGATTTTTATTTTTTGTGCTATAAACAAAAAAAGAGCAACAATTTTGAAAAAAAAAACAAACAATATTTTTGAAATCTAAATTTCGTCATAAATGTAGGCCAAAATGTATTCTGTTGGATATCTTCGCTAAAAAAAAAACAAATACGTGTAAATTAATTGGTTTACATGAAAGTTAGTCTACAAATGGCAGTATATATACACTGTAATTTTTTTTTTTTTTTTTTTTTTTTTTTACACTAGTAAGCAGTGATCAGCGACTTATAGAGAGACTGCAGCGGGCATTCTGACACTGGGTGGGAACTAACTGCCACTGACATCCCCAGTGACACTAATAGTGATCAGTGCAAACAAAAAGCACTGACACTGTACTAATGACATTGGGCAGGAAGGGGTTAACTTTTGGGCAAAGTGTTGTGTGCTGTGTTTGTTTTACTGTGTGTGCCATTTTACCTTGGATACATGCTCTCTCTCCCCCTGTCAACTTTACAGGGCGATCGCTGAGTACCGGTGAGGAATCTCTGGCCGGGACCCAGTGATTGACATGCCTAGCCACCAATGGCGGCGCTGGTAGGGCAGCGCGCACACGCACTCCCTACCCGTCAGCTGGAAGGTGTTTGCAACTATGTCACCAAACAAGCAGCAATGTTGTGTGTGAAAAACCTGCAAAAATTTAAAAAAGGTAAACCTTACCTTCCCCAGTCTTGTACAGACATTTACAGAGGGTGATAAAACAAGTAAAATAACACCCCACAAAAAAAATAAAAAATACACTAGGCCAATTAGAGGGAATCCTTGTCTTACCTATCCATGCTTCAGGTCCCCAAAGAGGACCAAACTTCAAACATCACGGTAGGCATACCCCCAAATTCTTCAGGATCTGGGTGCCAAAGGAATAGACCATGGCCCAAGACCCATATAAGCACCCTGTGGCAAACTAAATTAATTGCCAAACAGAGAGTCAAATGCAGTATCCAGTGTGCAAATCAACATTACAGCCCAGCCTTGCTTATGAGGGGTACGGGCACGGTTCCCAAGATATGCATTGAAGGAAACTGCTTGTGGGCCCTGAGGCAATAAGCAGCTGGATCTTGATAGCAGTGTCAGTCAAATGTAGAGAAGAAAAATTACAAGAATTGGTGTCCAGTGGGTGTACTAGAAGGCATTACCAGCAAAGCTTTTTCCAGTGTCCAGTCACCTGCAGATAACGGCATATAACATATGGTATAGAACCACACATCCTTTGTCCTCTACTGAACAATTATAACACATTTTGCTTTGACTGGCCAAAGTCTCCACAACCCAGCAAACATTTCAAGGGTGGGGGGCTGCCACAGGTCCACATAACACAGAGGCATTCACCAGTCCATGCTGTAGGGCAGGGGTAGGCAATCTTTTAGAGGTGGAGATCTAGCTGAACAACATGAAAGAGATCAAAGATCAAAGATCGCCGGGCGTTCAGTGCCATAAACAAAAAAAACAAAAAAAAAAAAAACTAGCAAGGCCTAACTATTTTAAATAGCAAGGAAAATGTAGAAAAATATAAAAACAAATGTCACTGTAAAAATACAAACTTAGCCTACCTTTAAAAAATGGACAGTGTCAGTCAGTAGAGCAGTGGATGGTATCAGTAGGGCAGAGGTTGGTGTCATTAGTTTTTATTTTTACATTATTTTTTAGTATTTTTCACAATTTCCTTTCCCTGTTGAAAGGGGAGCACTTGGGGAGGGACCAGGCAGTAGAACCAACCTAGCAATAAATCACCTGTGGGTTAATATGAAAAGGTTAATTTAGCCAGCTCCTCCTCCCGCACTCCATCCTGAGCCCTGCTGACTTCCACTCTCCGCTGTGCACGGAGAATGATAGCAGCAGCGGAGGAGGCTGGGGGAAATTGGGGGGGGGGGGGGGGGGGGGGAGTCTTCCTTTAACTTGCCCACGGTCAACAGGACAGGTAGACTGCGATCGGATCAATGGTTGCTGACCCCGTGTAGGGCCATTAGGTTCAGGCACTTCACAAATAATGTTACATGCTCCCCCAAAGGGCCTTCAGTGATTTGACTCACCTCCAGGGGAACCACTGTCCTGGGCTTGTAGAGCCCCCAGGAAGTGAGATCATTGGGTAAGCTGTACACTCAGGATCCAGCACAGAACGGCAGATATTACAGGTCATCCCCACTCTGCATACAAAGAGCAGGTAAAGCCCGCCTTTGCCCCAGTGGGGGTATAAGGAACTGGCCAGGAGACGTAGGAACAAGTTCAAAAAGAAGATAATTTCCAAGAGACTAAGGAAAGCATCCATCGCCTTCAGGCACCAGCACAAAACTGAGGCTTGATTGAACTTGGAGGATTTATGCCTGCATGGATATTGCAAATATTAACTCCTCTGTAATGTACAATTAAGAAAGGGTTTTGAATACAAAAATCAAAAACAAAATTATTGTATATCTACCTCCAGAAGAGCAGCATGTAAATGACGTGAGACATCGTCCAATTGACGTTCTGTGTAGCTCGCCCGCTCCTTTTCCTTTTCCAGCAGTTCCACTTGTTTATCATATTCTACCATGAGATTCTGCAATACCAAGAAACAATTACTCAACAATCACGTATGCTCAATATCTATTTGGAAATCATGATGAACACAAAAGCAACCACATTTCTGATTGCTGTAAATAACAATCCAATAAGTAATTACCGGTTCAAATAACGTAACAGTAATAAAATGATCCATAACCATGTTATCATAAAGGTATATTATCACTGTTATTTTATTAAAAATGAATAACAGAAAGGCTGAAATTCCTCTCTTGGGAAAAAATTGCCACTACAAATGCCTTTCTGTGCTGGTTACATGTCTGTAGGTCAAGGCCTAGGTCATGTAATCTCTGTTAAATAAGCTGAATAATGGCTCATACACACAACAAAGTGCACTGTAATGTACAATCTTTTGTGAATTTAATTAATTTATATTTCAATAGCGCTCTTCTCCTTGAGGACTCAAATTGTGTATCAAGTTGGCATTGGAGCAGATGAGGGTAAGGCAGCCATTTTGGGGTGTTCAATGGAATATCATAACTAGGGCTAATAGACATGAGCCATTTAACCTACCAGCATGTTTTTGAAATGAGGCAGAAGCACAGAGTACCAAAAAAATAAAACACACAAGCACAGGGAGAACATGCAAACTCCATATAGATAGTGTCCTGGCCTGGATTTGAACAGAGGACCCAGTTCTGTAAGGCAGAAGTTCTAATTATTGAGCTGCCCTTGAGGGGATGGTTTTGTCAGACAGCTATATCAAGACACAATTTTAAGCACAGCCTAATACACAGAGCATATACAGTATGTCTGTATCTGTGTGTAGTGGTGAACTTTAATACATGTGCATTGCAGCTCAAAGTGGATGTGTGTTGGCGTGCAATTAACTACATTTCAGCACACATATTGTGTGTTATACGTGTGCTATGGTGTGAATGAGCCCTAAGAGTTCAGACTATTATTTATTTCAGGTCCTTATATAGCGCCGTCAATTTACGCAGCGCTTTACATATATATTGTACATTCACATCAGTCCCTAACCCTCAAGGGGTGTACAATCTAACTTACATTCATACATACACATACAATGACCAACTTAGACAGGAGCCAATTAACCTACTAGCATGTCTTTGGAGTGTAGGAGGAAACCGGAGTTCCCGGAGGAAACCCACACAGGTACAGGGAGAACATGCAAACTCCAGGCAGGTGGTGCTGCGGTTGGGATTTGAACCGACGACCAGGCGGAAGTGCTAACTATTTAGCCACTGTGCTGCCCACTAGGTTATCTTCCACTTCTGCAGAAATCATATGATCAAACACTTAAGATAGCCACATATCTAACAGATTCCTACACAGCAGGATAGACAATCTCCCACTGCAGCTCTTGTATTTTATCAGCTGGTGCTGCTGGCTATCAATTACCCAAAAATACACTAGACCATGAATCATTAACCAATACTCTCTGAAAACAGTCTTTTAGCTAGTTTTCTTTTCCATTTACAAACTGATTTTACCAAGCTTGTACACTTTACATTACACATTAGCCTGTGTGAGGAACGGTGTCAAACGCTTTTGCAAAATCCAAGTACACCACATCCACCCCTCTGTCCAAGGTTTTTGCTCACTTCCTCATAAAAAGAAATCAGATTTGTTTGACAACTTCTGCCTTTCATGAATCCATGCTGTGTGTGTTGCTTAAAATATATTTTTCAAGCAAGAACTCATCTATGTGGTGTTTTATTAAACTCACCAGTATATTCCCAACTATAGAAGTTAAACTAACAGGTCTATATTTATTTGGTAAAGATTTTAAACCCTCAATTCTTTAAGAACCCGTGGGTGTATGCCATGCGGCCCAGGTGCTTTATTCACCTTTTACTCTGTGTAAATATTTCTGGGCCATATCAGTTTAGAGCCATTGTTGATTATTTGGGACTCTGTCAATACCATGCCCATCATGGACATGAGCTCCTCCATGCTCCTTTGTATACACAGAGCTAAAGATGATATTTAATAAATTTGCCTTCTCTTTATCCCCAGTCTCCCACTCTAGATTATTTTGTAAAGGGCCTACATGCTTGGACCGGACCTTTTTACTATTAATATAGTTGAAGAATTTTTTTTTGGGGGGGGGGGGGAGGGGGGTTGTCCCTGCTATCTTTTGCAATCTGTCGTTCGTTTTCAATTTTGGCATCCCCGATTTCCTTTTTACATATTCTGTTATATCATTTGTACCATTTAAATGATTATAGATGTCCTACATTTTTTTATTTTACAAAAGCTCTTTTCTTATTAATTATAGCTTTTTTAACTTTGGCTGTAAGCCACATAATTTACGTACGTATTTATAGGGAATTTCACACATGCGCATATCGCGGCGGCCATATTGGAGTAGCGCAGACTGAACTGCGCAGGCACGAGGATTCTGTCACCATTTTCCTTTAGTTTTCTCTATAGAGACAGTGAGTTTATGTCTCTGTATAGAGAATGCGGTATGTTGTGCACGCATCTAGGCTCCGCCGCCATTTTCCATTGGTCTGATCAATGCCCATTTAATAGAATAGACGGAACGTCTGAACTTAATTTATGAAATGATCGCATACAGTGGCATATTCAACCACTGTTAACATCAGTATATAGATGTATATGCGTATTCATAAATAATTAATTATTGGGGAATAGAGACCCAAATTAGAGAAATAAATCAAATAAATAAATTAAAATAAGAGGTTAAAAAACCATGATTCATTATGTGCATGTGTGAACTTGCCATGATTGAGCTGAATAAACCATACCAACGGGATACAGATCCCAATATAGAAGTATTAGTAATTTCTCATTAAAATACCAATAATTCACTTGTACACGATTCATATTATACTTCAACATGGTAAAACCTTAATATATAGAAAATCGTTAAAAATAATATAAATCAAATAAATAAAATTACATAAAATTCAGTAAGCAAGAACATGAAAATGATGATAGATAGATAGATATCCATATAAATGGCCCCAGTAGAGAAAAAATGAGGTATTATGTTTACGGATAAAACTGTAAAGTGCTGTAGTATCCATAATGCTCTAGCTAAAATCATACGTTTATGTAAAAGAATAGAACAATTCAAAAAAATTCCCTTATGACCTATCAAGTGACAGAAGATGATATATATGCCTTTAATAATATTTTCAGATATCCGAATAAGATAATAATTTAATAAAAACTCAGCTGTTATCAATAAAACAGTTAATATCAACCTCAATATTTAGGCCATCGGGGTGTAGGGAATGGAGTTCATAAATCCATTTCATCTCAAGTTGGGATACTGCCCTTCTTTTGTGTATTCCCCTCCAGTGAGGTTTAATTAAATCGATACCTGTAAACTTTAAGGATGTTGGATCTTGGTTATGAAACTGTTTGTAATGTTTCGAAAGCGAATGTTCCTTATACCCATGTTTTTAATATCATTAACGTGCTCCCATATTCTGTCTCTGAGTCGCCTAGTGGTACGTCCAATATACTAAAATTACATGAGCGCTCAAAAACTAACCTATATACACAAATAACTGTGCTCACATGCAATGGTGACACACATATAGTAAATATAACCTAAATATCAAGTGCCACTTAATGATGATCTAAGGTGTCCATATCATATAGATATATGAAAAACACGTGGTAAAAAAAATGCATAAATATCAAACGCATAAATATAAAAAACACATATAGAAAAAAAATCTTAACTAAAAATAATTATAAATAATTTATAAAGTGCTCATGTGGTAATGTAACCACATTTAATCAGTATATCAAAAAATCAAGCAAAAAAATTGTCCATACAAAACACAATGCAAATGTTGCAAAAAATATGCTAAAAATTGTGCAAAGCAAATGTGTCCTTGTTCCACACAGTAGTGCAAATCTCAGACAGTCTTCCCCTCCTACGGCTAAATTTGCCTCCTCACCTCCTTACATCGACCCCTAAGGGCCACACAGCATTCAGGATCTCTCTGGATCCTTATCTCCTGGAGATCAGCACTTCTCCTGCCGTCCTGGATCACTTTGAGGGTATTCCCATTACCCCACTTAGAAGCTTCTATAGGATAATTACTCACCATCCAGTGAGCAAGAAAGAAAAGATCCTCTAAAGTGCAGTAAAAACGACACTTTAATGACAATGTTTTGAACAAACATATAGCCCTCACATGTTTTTCCATTCCTCTTGACATGTTAGAAGGACTTATGGGTATACCAAGATGGCTCCACCGTGAGTGCGTCACCGCGTAAATTCGGCGATACGTGCCTGTTTAAAACTATTACTCGTGACTTCCTCTGGGCTTCCTCTGGTTATTTAAAAATTTATAATTATTTTTAGTTAAGATTTCTTTGTGTATGATATTTATGCGATATTTTGCATTTTTTACCACGTGTTTTTCATATATCATATGAATGGACACCTTAGTCTCATTAAGTGGCCTTGATATTTAGGTTATTTCACTATATGAGTGTCACCATTGCATGTGTACAGTTATTTGTGTAATAGGTTAGTTTTTGACGCTGCAATTTATAATTTTGGTATTTTCACTGTTTGGGTAACAGATAAGTGTTGGCAGCTTACAGTAGGGCTATTTCCCTTTTTGCGCAGGAGGATCTCTGTTTATATTCCATTTATACGTCCAATATACTGAAATTTACAGGGGACACTAAAACAGGTAAACCACAAACCTACTGTTACAAGTGATAAATTTAGGTCTTCCCAGTTACTTGTGACATAAATGTGGTTTGTTTGCGTTTTCTGCTTCTTTCACATGTGCAAACCCTTTATCTGCAGGTATTATTTCCAATCAAAACCAAAAATTATTATTATTGATGGCAAAAATGTGTAAGGATAAAATGAAATCCACATGGGAGGTACTTAGGGTACTGTGAGTATTCAGATAGTATTCTGCCGCTTCTAAACCATCCTTATGTGCTATATAGCGAGGAGACATCAGCAGTAACCAAAAAGGTATGGGGAGAGATGGATAACCCTTG